TGTTCTGCAGATATCAAACTTTCACTTTTTTTTCAAATATCGATATATTGAATGATGTAGATCTTTTGAGTTACCAATAGTTACCAACACAGGTAGTCACAGTCACAGGGAGTTCAAGCTTAACAGGTTAATGCCCAAAAAGATTCATTTCAATCCGATAGTATAAAAACAAAACAACTCCATCAAAAGGCACTGAGTTTAAAAAATTGTCTTAGATACTTACTATATATGAATTTACAATTACCGAGTGTTACAATTAAAATATCTATCTTATTCATTATTTTCAAAATAAAATATATTTTTTTAAAATAAATTATAGAGGGTGTCACAAGATTAAAAATAATTAAAAAAAAGTGCTAAAGAGTTTTTTGATATCATAATTTTATGTATTTGGCAATAGTTTACAACACGGTTTTTGTGTGTCATGTACGAATAAAATCATAGTTTTATTATCCTGTATTTATTTATTAATAAATTAAGTTGTTAATAAATAATTAACCATATAGTTGCTATATATTAGACCATTTGCTACGTTCTTAGATTTTAAGTCCCAAAAATTGCTCTTCAGATTTTGTCCCGCTAGAATAAAGATCCGCCGCACTGTGGAGCGCTGGTCAGCGCGTGACGTAGCATTCCACGGCGACTACGACAGCGGCGATTTGACGCGATCGAACAGTCCTTTAGAATATTTTCTACATCTTTCCGTTTTCGTATAATCAACCGAGGCGAATAAGGTACGCCACCCTGAATACAGTCGGTCATAAAGTCGTGGCACATCAAAGTTTAATTTTTTCAAATGGACCCCCTGTATATTATTGCATATTTCAATCCTTCCTTCAATTCTAAACAAAAATCGAGATACGCATAATGTACCTCAAAACAATTCTATTTAATTAATTTCGATTTGTGTGATTTTGATTTTGCGGAAACTGTGATAATAATGTTACGGATTCCGTGGGTCCACTAATTTAAACTCACGATAAAATACTTAACGAATTTATTTTCTCACTTTATACACAATTACTAACTTATAACACACAACAAACTAACTATTTATAAGATTCCTTCACCAAATTGTCCGATTTTCAATTTCCACGCGGTATATTCAAATTTCCGGGATCGAGACTGTGTCCGATATAGAATAATATGCGACGGCGACGGATCGGCTAGCGCGCGTAGCCCGATGGTAGGCAGGAGTGGGGAGTGCCAGACGTACATTAACGGATCCGGACCTAGATAAACTAAACTAAATAAAAGACTAGTTTACGTACAAACGGATCGGGCCAGCGCGATCGATGCTAGGCAGGAGTGGGGAGTGCCAGCCTTATGCCATATGTTATCGGATCCGGACCTAAAGGAACTAGAGGAACTAAATAAAAGACTAGTTTACGTATGGATCAGCCAGCGCGATTGATGCTAGGGAGGCGTGGGGAGTGCGAGCCGTATGTTATCGGATCCGGACATAGAGGAACTATTAAAAGACTAGTTCACGGGAATCTATTCAGTCGGCAGATCCGAGATATAATACAAGGCGACGATGATGGATTCGGCCTTGTCTATTGCCGCAGCCGGCGCGGCGTAATTACCACAGAAAATTGTCGTGGCTACTGTTTTTGATTTTTAGTTTGTTTTTTAAATATTTTATGGGAATGTTTCACTTTCGGTCCCTAAAATTAAGAAATATCTTATAAAACGAAGTAAATATTCTGAATTTTTAGACAAAAACAAAAAGCTTGAAGTGAGGAAAAATGCAATTTTTCGTAAAATTTTTGTACTATTTGCTCCAATTGATTTGTGATATAGTTTTTTAAATTCTGATTTGAGTTTTTTTTTTAATTTTTTTATCTGCTATTCTATTTATTATCTTCTATTAAAACTTACCTATATGTTTTTAACATACACAATTACACGTCTCGTTATATCTCCGTACATTATAAAAATGATACAGATCATACTGTGAATAGTTCTGACTGACAACGAAACGCATTAGCAAGCAAGGGGGATGTCAATGTTAGTCGGGAACTATTGTGAACTAAAGACGCCCCAAGGAACTATTCCTCTGGAGGAACTAGAACTAAGGAACTAGTTCCTCCGAAGGAACTAGAATTCCCACCTCTAGTATAAAAAATAAGATTATATAAAATCTGAAAATTACAAAATTTTCGTTTAACATTTCATAACCAAAATTTCATAATTACAGCATGTGTATAACGATTATTGCTTAAAATTGAAGGAAGAATTGAAATATGAAATAGTATACAGGTTTTATTTTTCTGTAGAATTACCCACTGAAGTTTGGTACACTTGGTATTTTTTGGCGCCCTATAAATTAATAAATTTTACCTGACTTATCAGTAAATTGATAGAGTTTATTTCATTCTGTAATTCCATGTTATATTTTTCAGCAGCGACCATAGCTTCTTTGGCTTCCTTAAATTTCTCTTTGCGCTCCTTAATCTGATTTTCCACTTCTTGTTTTGCAGCGTTAATATTTTCCACATCTTGCGTAATCTCATCTAAAGTTTTCTGTTGCCTGAATTGCAAAAAAATAAATACCAAATTATACAGGGTGCAACAGATTTATTTAGATTAATGAAGCTAAGAGTAGTTTTTTCCAAACACAAACGTGCGAATGCTCAGCGACAACAGGTCTCTTGATAGGATATACAGGGTGTCACAGGCTGAGCGTGCATTAGAAGGAAGTTTCTAGAGAACCACAATATCTAGATGGGAGATTTTTTGCACATCGTTGTATTATAATGAGATCAGATCAATCGATTAAAAACGTTTTCACGTGGCGGCACTTCCGGAAATACCGGAAGTTGATAGCAACTTTCTTATTTTAAATGGGTGCCCCCATTTTTATTAAGTACTTAAATTCTCTGTAACATTCTATGTATATTGATGTTAAACACTCTATACCTAACATTAACCGTTTTTGGAGAGAAAAGAAAATATTTAAAATTTTTGGACGAAAAAAATACCTGTCAAAAAAAATGTGTATAGCCTAAAAGTCAAATTTAGTGATAACCACAGCCACTGTGACATAAAGAGAAGACATGTGTATTATCTATTTCAAAAAATGAAATTGTTCAAATGTCGTATAATAATGGCGGTAGCCGTCATGGAATTGAGCGATTAAAAATTATCATAAATAATTTTTTTCAAATGGAAATCCACTTTTTGTATTTCACTAATGAAAAGTTTTTTAATTCGTTACTTTTTAACTATACATGTCGTCTCGTTTAGATGTAAATAGTGTAGTCTATATTTTATTTTAAGAGTCCATTTCACTAGTCCGAAAAAGTAGCAAAATAAACGTCCGGCATTTAACGTTTTATGTAAAACTGACTAGGTATTTTTACACAAAATGAAGAAGGAAATTGAAGATAAAGGATTATACTATATCCGTATTGTAGCACATTTTAGGCAACTTCTTTATTTTTAAGATTTTGATGGTCAAACATCAACAAAATATTCCTTATATTTGGACTAAATTTTCTCGCAAATAAAGTCATAATTTAAAATTCCGTTAAAATACGGAAATAGATTGAAATTTTGTGATTACAGTGATATAGAATTTATATGGTTTTGTAACAAATTACTGCTATTTTATGGCTTAACACGACAGGATCGGGCTAAGCCTTAGGCAGATTTCTGAAATATAATATATATTTCCTTCGGCCACACACCCGCTTTTGTACCCGACCCCTGAGAGCGAACCGAAAGTACAGCGTAATAGACTCTTAAGGCGGGCGCCACTGCGAGCGAAACTAAACTAAGCCAAGCGAAGATAAGATTTTTAAAAATCAGCTCCCATACTTTTAAATGCATCAGCGGCCACTTGAGCGAAACTAAACGAAAATATATGAACGAAGATTCAAATCGTAGTTTAGTTTTGCTCGTTTTAGTTCGTGACAGGTTCCAGCGATTTTTTCGCAGCGATTAATTCTATGATAGCAGAGACACAATACGAAAACGCAGCTAACTTAGCTGACTACTAAGCAAAAATCGTTCCCAGTGGCCGATGAAACTTATTTTCGTTTAGTTACCGTTTCTTTCTATATTCTTAGCTTAGTTTAGTTTCGCTCGCAGTGGCCGCCTGCCTTTAAGGTTGTGAACCTTCAACATAAAATTCCCGTCACGTTTTAACATAATACCTGCACACAACTTGCTGGGCCTCATAGACCTCAACACCTAACAGCTCTTTTTTCTTCCTCTCTTCTTATGTTCAGCTTCGTAGTCAAATATTTCATTACTTAAACGATCTATTTGTCGGGTGTAATGATCTGTCAGAGCTTCTTGAAATCTCTTCAGTATCTCATGATCAGGGTCTAGGACAGCCTTTTCTTGAACCTTTTCTTCCGTCATCATGGTAGTCGATTATTAAAAATTACTTTATAAAATATATTTTAAAAATCATATAGCATATGTCAGTCGATAAGAGACAAAAGTCACTTAAAACTATGATGTCAATAATGCCATAACAATAAGGTAGGTGTATAATACCATAGAAACGGTGACTAATGATTAAACACCTATGTTGTCCTCTCATAGCAACCAGCTAACTTCTATACAGGGTGGTCCGAATTGTATTCGAAAACTTCGGCAGCATATATTCTGCAGATAAAAATAAGTAAAAAAGTTCGTATAGGGTATAAATATAAATGTATGTCCTAAAATGCTTCGTTTTGGAGATACAGGGTATAGAAGTTTGATTTATATTACGATTTTTCGAAATAATTTCTGAACTAATATCGATACGTGAGATATACCGGGTGCGTCTCAAAAGTGGCTCATCCCTATAACTTTTTATTTTTACATATATACAGGACATATATTAGATTGATTGACGTGTTCAGTTGTTTTTAATCACTGTCTGTTTCACCGGAAATAATTACAACTTTTGGTCTATAAATGGCAGCCTCGGTTTTTTTTACTTTATTCGATAGAAAATGAGACTCTGAGTAGAATGACAAATCATATGTCAACTTTTGACATTCTTGTTTAAAAAATCGTATTTTAAATTTCAATTTAGAGTGTCGTGGCTGTGTTAAAAACACTAATTTTAATGGAGCCTTTGAAAAATAGATTTGATCGTCTAATGTTTTTCGTGTCTTGTCCTGGTCGGTTAAAAGATGTATTTTGGGCCGTATTTTTAATATCTCAATTTTGAAAGGAGGTCTGATGTGACACAACTCGTTTTTCAAATGGAGCGTGGGTAGCTCATTAGCATATTTGAAAAATTTTTTTAATATTTTGAATAATTTGATACCACACACTTGGTATTTCAAGTCAAAATGTCGATATGAACCGCATGTTACAATGTCAATAAACCATATGTGAAAATGTCAAAAGTTGACAAGTGATGCGTGACATTCTATTCAGAGTGTCATTTATTTCTATCCAATAAAGTAAAAAATACCGAGTGTGGTATTTAAAAATCAAAGTTGTAGTCATTTCCGGTTAAACAGGAAGTGACCGAAAACAATTGAATACGACAATCAATCCTAATTTATCATATACTAAAATACCAAATCTCGCTTTTCTGAAAAAATAAAAAGTTATAGGGTTGAGCTACTTTGAGACGCACCTGGTATATATCACGGAATATTGAGTGTCCCAATATTCCGTGAACATAGAACTACGTATTTTTTGGAATTAAAATAAGTTCATTGGACACAATTTACCTATATACAAAAGTACTTCGTTTGTCCGCTAGAGGGCATCAAACCAAAAAAAACACATTTTTTCAGATATTTTAAGAACCATTATTCCGATTTAAACACCAAAATAATTAGTTTTTTGCACTACAATAATAAATAATAACAAAAATCATAGAGTAAAACCAAAAATCAACCGACAAAATATGAAACGGAATCTAACCCAATATCTAAGTATGTACAGCTGATGAAGTAAACAAAAGTCCGCCCCCAGGCTGATCTTTTAAAGAACGGCAGTGGTATTTGCATCCCTTTTAATGCCGTAACCATAGAGTAAAGCCGTAACTATGGTAATATCAAAGATTAAGAAATTATACCGTGGGGAAAAATTTGCGGTGAACAGGCAGTTCTAAAAAGTTTTCGTAAAATATACAGGAAAATTAAAAAAAAAGTGCGATTTTCAACATCTTTTTTTAGCGAACAAACTCTCATAGACGTGTTCTTGGGGTCGAAATATACCACCCCTGAAAATATTTGCACTTATCTAAGACTCACCCTGTATATCAATAATTGTGTTATCCTTGATATTAGATAAAATCAAAAAGGTTTTTGCAACAAAAACATTAGTGTGAAAATTACAATTTATTGAAAAGTAATAATTGTTTTAACATAAAAGCTAAAATCTTAAAGATACAAAACGATATTTCGGAAAAATTAAAAGCTCTGAGCCGCCATGTCATCAGCGCATATTCCCAAAAGAGCGAGGTCGTCGTCTGGCGGTAGTGGCGGTGGTTCGAGAGGAGGATGCGGCAAAGGCGCCTGCTCTTCTTCGTATTCGTACTGTTGCGTCTGGTACATCATATTGTTAAAGCTTTCGTAATACTCGCCCATGGCGTTATGATCGAAATCTTGATCTGGGTATTCAGGTTCCTGAAACAATAGTATATTACAGTTGGGGGTTGGAACCTTTGGTGATACACAGCAAAATAAAACACTAAATCACCACAGTACATCAAAACACTTTTACTTTTACACTGGACGCGCGTTTCGCTAACCATGTTAACATCATCAGCAGATGATCCAGACTACTAGACTCTTGATCAAGACTCTAGTAGTCTTGATGTTCACACTTGATGATCAAAACTAGTGATGGGATCACTCGAACGAAATTTCGCTCGAGTACTCGATTATTGAAATAACCGACTTCACTCGATTATGAACGGGCGATGCAAGTAACGAGTACCAAGCGACGAAAGCAAGCGATCCTAGAATGAAATAAATTGAAATCTGATTTTAATGTGACATACTCGATAAAAAGCCGAGCGAATTTTCAACATACATTGCGGGTAGCAAATTTATACGACGCCGTATACCGGGTGCGTCTCAAAAGTGGCTCACCCCTATAACTTTTTTATTTTTTCAGATAAAACAACGAGATTTGGTATGTGAGTATATGACATAAATTGGACTTCATTGACGTATTCAATTGTTTTCGGTCACTTCCGGTTTCACCTGACTACAGCTTTTGATTTTTAAATGGCACCATCGGTATTTTTTTACTTTATTGGATAGAAAATGACACTCTGAATCGAATGCCATATCATATGTCAATTTTTGACATAGTCACTCAAAAACAAATTCTATTTTAAATTTCAATCTAAAGTGCCATGGCTGTGTTAAAAACACTAATTTTTAATCAAGGAGCCTTGGAAAAATAGATTTGATCGTCCAATGTTTTTAGTGTCTTGTCCTGGTCGGTTAAAAG